GGGGTGCAGTGGAAGGATGAATGTATGGTCACACCAGTGGACAGAGGGGCAAACGGACAGTCGACTAGGTTATCAGAAGGCCCCTTCATCCCATCGCCCAAAGCATAGGTGTTTAGCTGTTGGGCACTTTTACAAAGGATAAGGTCACACCAAACTAGACCTGCCCGATCCATACCTTGTAATCAGAGAGGCCACCAGGACACAGACCAGAAAGCCACACATAAAACCAATCTATGGAGCCGCGCCACATCCAGGGCCCAGCTGAGGGTGGGCGCTTCTCCACCGTTTCCCTCTGGTCAGTGCGACCCTGTGCCACCGCTGCAGGCATAGGGAAGCCCCCTGGACACAGGCTAAGAGGGTCTTGCCCTGGGGCAAGGATGAGCTTGCTAGATATGGCTCCAAAAAAGAGGTCAGCCCAGGGAAGGGGATGCGGTCACAGCAGAGAGCTGCACATGCACTACACACAGAGAGACATGTACATGAACCGTGTGCACACCACATGCACACATGCACAAACCGTGTATACTGCATGTACACATACGTGCACAGCACACACGCACACATGCATCCACAGACCAAAACAAACATGCGCATAGGCACACAGCATATTCACACCACTCACACACACATTTATACACACACCACACACATGCACAAACACCATGTACACACCATACACAACACATGCCAAGCACATGCACACAACGCACATACACATGAATACACATCGTGCGTATACAGTATGCACATGCACATGCACATGTCATACACACATGTAAACACCCATAAATACATGTACATGCCTATATACACCATACACAATGCATGAACATGCTCACGCGTACCATGTGTACAGCATACATCCATGCTCACAAGACATTCCATGCAGACACACACAGGCACAGCACCACGTACACCACACACACACTTATATACAGAAATACACACCTACATGAGAGTGTGTGCACACCCACATGCATGTACTCCATACCAACATCCACAGTGCACATACGTACTCTTGCATATGTATGTACACCACATATATACCACACAACACGTTACATGCAAGCATACACCCCACCCAGGTACACACACTGCCCGCAGGGCACACCACCCATATCAACCACACACCACCAACACTCACCTTGAATCCAGGCGAGGCCCCTGGGCTGTCAAGGCTGAAAGGAGCTCCTCCCCTCACATGCGGGGCTCCTTGGGCAGAGAGGCCTGGGTCCCCCTGCCCCCAGGGGGCAGACCAGCCCTCAGTACACCCAGCTCCCGGAGTCCAGGACAGCGAGGCAAGGACCGGGCAGCGGCAGACACCAGTCTTCTTGACCCTGGCACTCCAACCTGATGCATTTGGCTCCTGCTTCATGTACATTGCAGAGAGACCCCATTAAGCCATTAATTTTTGACCAATTTTCTACCCAGTGCATGGAATTCATTTCCACGTGTTTCCTTTTGATTTTCCTGAAATGTCTTTACTATGGTCAGCTATTTCCATAAAACAGTTGGATGGATCGATCAGGCTTTTGTCTACAGCCGTGTTACTGATAATAGTTTACAACAAACATAGGAGTGTGTCATTCCACCAAGTCAAACGTCACAGACCTGAATTGTGTCAGGCAGACAGGCTTCTCTGCCAGGTTTTGTGAGCACCGTCGATAGTGGGCACGCTGCGCCCCGACACACACGGTATTGGTTTTGCTGGGTGATCATGGATGGGTGCTCCCATCTGTGTCATCAGTGTGATGCTGCCTGGAGCACCTCTATTTGGTGTTGCTTACATCTGACAGTAGCACTGTCATTTAGAGAAAACACTGAAGGTTTTTATTTCTTCATTAGTTAATCCTTGAAAAACGTAGAGGCAGACCCCTTAGGCGGCTTAGGGACACCTTGGTTGCTAGGGCCAGCTGCTGTGAAAACTGAGGACCCAGCCAGTCTGTCCAACTGCTTCACATTCCGCCGTCCATGCACTGGAGAAGCAAAGTGCCTGTCATGGTCCAGGTCCATCTGCAGTCAGGTCCAGCCTGGCAGGAAAGGGAACGTGAAAGCAGGAGGAGGACCTGCAATGGCCCCCACAGTCCCCCAGGCCCGGAGTCCTTGTCCTGACCACAGAGACCCTAACTCTAGGTCCACAGGGGCTCATCCATGAGGATGAGGACACTCCAAGATCTCAGAGCTATGTGTGCCTGAAAGACGAGTCCTGTGTTTTGTCCTGCCAGTGGCCCCAGCCCCGAATGACAGGCAGAGCACAGCTGCTCGTGCAGACTCCAGGAGATGAGTAGCTGCCCTCATGCTTCTCCAGTGGCTTCTGCGATGCTCAGGGCAGTTCCCAGACACTGGGTCCCACCAGCATCTGATCAACCTTCAGAGCCCCCAGCCCCTCATTTCACGTTTTGACATGGAGAACCAGAGTGGGTGTGGCTTGTCCAGGAGGTCATAGGAGCTCCGGCTCTGGGGTGAACTGTCCAGGCGCAGACCTAACTGTGCCACTGATCACCATTCATGTGCCCTGGGTGTCTGTTTCCGCCTCTGACACAGGGGTAGTACTAACGCCTGGCTCTCGGGGGTATTGTGATAATTAAATAAGATCGTCGGTGTGAAGCACTTAGAACAGTGCCTGGTACCCAGTGATGAAGTGATCACCCCATAACAACCAACCCATCATCGATCTGGGTCGCCCTAACCCTGTCCTTGGTGGGCAGGGGGCCAGCTAGAGAGGCCTGGGAAGCTCTGGACGTCTAGACCCCACTCCACATGACCTCTGTTGGGTCTGCTGACCCAGATGCCGGCTGGGGCTGGTGGCTGGCCCCCATCACCCTGCAGTGTTCCCAGGCCTCGCTCCAGGCGAGGGTTTGGGGGAGAGGCAGAGAAAGGAGGAGGACCTGGGAACGGGGAGCTGCCGCCTGCCAGCCTTGGGAGAGGGAGGGCTGGAGTCCTGGCCCGTCACCCCCGTCTGCCCCACAGCGAGGACGACGCCGCCACCGTGTACCGCGCAGCCGCGATGCTGAACATGACGGGCTCGGGGTACGTGTGGCTGGTGGGGGAGCGCGAGATCTCGGGGAACGCGCTGCGCTACGCCCCGGACGGTGAGTGCTGGGCCTCTCGGGTCCCGGCGGGCGGGGGTCTCCTACGGGCTCTAAGCGGACGCTCGCCCCAGGCATCATCGGGCTGCAGCTCATCAACGGCAAGAACGAGTCGGCCCACATCAGCGACGCGGTGGGCGTGGTGGCCCAGGCCGTGCACGAGCTCCTGGAGAAGGAGAACATCACGGACCCGCCGCGGGGCTGCGTGGGCAACA